CCATGTCCATCTCTCCCCCAGTTTTTCCAGCTTGTACCTTAGCCCAGGCTTTGTCAGGAGATCTTTAGAGGGCAGCTGGGTGGCTGCTCCGCTTTGCCGAGGGTGTGCTGCACCACTGGTTTCTGACCCACTTTCCACTCTTGCCCCGGAGGAAGGGGGCCGGCAGGGGGAAGCTCTCAGCAGCTTGCTGTGGATGTTGGCACTGCCGGCTCTTTCTCTTGCTGACCTCCCCTCTGCTGCTTTTGTTCCTCTCTGCACTCTATGCTGAGGTGAAGACTGGTCTTACAGCCAGTAGCATGTAATAAAACAGCATTTTAATCATATAATGAACTTTACCAGGTCACAGAAGTAGGATTAACACTTGTAGAAGTGTGAACCACAGGGTTTGTTTGCAGTCAAACTTCTCATGAGATTTTCAGCTGGGTAAAAAGATGTTACGCGAGTACTGCCTGCAAGAAGATTAATACAGGGATGCTGAATGGTACCACTGATTCTTTAAATGAGTCAAAAGGTCATATATAATATTTGGAATGCTTTCCTGCAATGCAAACACAATTTATTTGATTTATACATACATGCAAAATGAAATAGTGTCACAGACTGCTAGTGTTATATTTACATTTAACTACAGATTCTGTGCAGCTTATTTCTCTTAAAAAATGTCTCTTCCTTATCTCTGTAAATATTTCCTGCCTGGATCTGCTCAATACATACCCAAAATGTTCTTTCCCCGCCCCCCTCCTTCTTTTTTCTCCTGCTGCATTTGTCAGCGGAGCACTACGTGCACTCTGGTCCTCTTCATGCTTAGCACATTTTTATTCTTCTATTTTCTAAATCCTATTAATTTTGTCACATGCCTTCTTGAATCCCGCTTGAGCACTTTCTCTTCAGTCTGAAACTGCCTAGTTTCCTGGTTTGTTTTGTCAGAATGTCTTCTTGCTTATGGCTTCAGATTCCCTTTTCACAGGTGCATTTTAGTGTGGTTATTTTAGTACAGCCTGTTGCTCAGAGTTGTCGGTTCTTGTTTTGTGTTCTTGTTGGATTACAAGTGTGCTCGTGTCATAAATACTGGGGTGAGATTCTTCAGGTTCAACATCCTCTTGCTCAGTGCCTTCTTCCTGAGCAACCTGAAGCCCCTCGCATGCTTGATGTCTAAGCTGGCCCTGCCTTTAGTACTGTGGGCAGTATTAATGCCCTCTCTTATGCCAGGAGGGATGTTTTTCTTTAGCATACCTTCTACCCTCTTTCTTATAAGTTGGGTTAGGTTGAGTTTGCTCTTGAGCTGTAACCCACTAGAAACAGTTGTAAACACTTTGCAACCTGATTTTGAGGGTTTGGGGATTTGGCCTTGAAGGTCTGTGAGTTTGTGTGCTGGTACTGTGGACATGGAGAGCCATTTCACTTCTCTGTGCTGAAGGCATGCAACTGCCACTTGCTGGGTCCTGCACAGAAGCGGCGGCTCACAACCTCTGTTTGGCTGCAGGACAACATCACACAATTCGTATTCCACGGACGAACAGGATATTGACGTTGATTCAATTGATATTAATGTCACAAGCCAAATTAGCTAACTTGTAGCTGACTGCAGGATGGTCAGACTGGTAATTAGAGTGGATCCATATGCCAGTAGCTTTTTAAGTCACTGGTCTGAAGGGAAATGTCTTTTTCAGAAAGATGTGGTTGGCATAAGAAATACATCAATGAGTCCTCTTTAAATAGCATGACAAATTACAGTGTTGCCCAGCTTGAAGAGAGCTGCCATACATTCTCAACTTCTCATCGCTATGTGACCCAAAGACCTCAAATTATTATAGTCTTCAAATTCATCACCACCATCACGGTCATTATTCTTACAATTAGAAATCCCAACTGAGATCTAGATTGATCCTCCAGAATACACTGTTTCAAGAACCATGATGCAAGCCAATGTGTAAGTAAGTAAGGGAGTAAGTAACTAAGATAACTAGCCCAGCATCTGCCTTCAGCTCAGTTTGAGAGCTGCTAGATCCAAGCTTGCCTGGTTTCTCATTTACTGGATTGCACTGTCTCCCAGAGGGCTAAAGCTTTGACTAGTCCCCTGCTTTCCATTTGAAATTTTGACAGCTTATTGATTCATTATTCAAAAGCTTGTTTTAATTGAGGGCTGTTATGACTGTTGTGGTCAAACATTTCAGAAGTAATCTATAATGGTGTCAGAGTTTCAGCCTAGCTGGAAGCACATCCCAGCAGAGACAGACATGAATGTCCCTAATTAGTTAAACCAGTCTTCTCTAAACATACAACAGTGCTAAATCACTGAGCATGCTTATTTTTTCCCAGTGTTTGATACACTGATACACTGCAACCATGGGTAAGAACAGAATGAAACATTGTGAAAGAAGCGTGAGGATGAGAAAGTTGACTGTACAATTGACATGAATTATTTAGCAAAGATTTTTCATGAGAAAAGTAAAGCCAAGTTTTGTGGCACTACAGCAGCAGTCAATAGCTTGCCAAAGAGGCATGCATAAGGGAGAAGGGCTCTAGACTTTCTAAATATATTATTTTTTTTGTGCGGCTTTACTGAGAGTCTAAATATTTTGAAGTCAGGTTCAAAATGTAAAGAGAAACTGCAGAACACCCAAGCAGGTAGAAAGCCTACGTCAGTGTAACAGAGTTTGGAAAAACTGGGGAGGGATATAAGGGGAAAAATATCTTCAGAGCCTCAGGTGACCAGCATGTATTGTAAAGGTTCTGGTTTAACCTAGGGTGTTACCATCATCACTTTCAGGATTTTCTCTGTGCAGTTGTATAAACATATACTATAAAGCAGGAAAAACAAGTATGTGTCTCATATACAGTAGGTTTCATATCACCTCAAAGCTTTCTGATTCTGACAACCACAATCATCCCTTTCTTCTTGGATGCTGAGGATGTATACATATAAGCAGCACAGTCACAGTCATGGTGAGCTGGCTTTAAATGAAGAGGTTTGAGTTACAGCAGCAGTGTACCAATGACAGCGGAAAGCTTAGCAGAGGATATAAAATAGGCTCCATTGGCACACACACAGCTTGATTCTGTCTTGTCTACAACTTCTTCCATTAGTTAAACATCTTCATTAAGATCAGCTCAGCTATGTCCACTCTCTACAGTAGTCGCTGCAGATGTGGCTTGGCAGTGCAGATTGAGGGTCATTATACAGACATCTCCAGTACTTCGTGTTTCATCTGTAATAGTGAGCAGCTTGGGAAAACAGAGAAATGTATTTAGTATGCACCATGCTTCTTTTAATGCAGACTAGCAGTTGGTAATAAGGTGGGAGTTATTTAACATAGCAGTATATTTGTGACTCACACTAGTCAGTGCTTTGAGCATTACAGGCAGTGATGTCTATTTTTAAACAGTAAGATCAAAAGAACTCAGGGCTGTCTCATTTGCTCCTCGCTGTGGGTTCATGTCTCAGCTATCACTAAGCCCTAGCTGGAAACAACCTCTTAAATAATTGTTTCAGTTTGGCCTTCTCCTAGGAGCACCATTGCTAGGAGATGTGGAGGGACTTTGAAAGATGCTTAGAGATCTGTAGAGCCATTATACCAAAATAACTTCCATGTTCACAGAGTCCTGCTTTTCTCTCCTGTAAATGCCCTTTCATCAAACCTCTGCCAATGAGCCTGCTGCTAACAAACTTCAACTGAAAAACTGACAGTTTCACAATACTATAGTTTTAGCCTTTAAACTGTAAGCAGTCTAGGACTCTATTAGGTTTAGATTTCAATGGGATCTTAATGTCATTCCATATTTCAAGTGCTACTATTTTTGACTCAAAATTGTGGTCACTGGCAGAAATGGCAATGACTTTGTTCTGAAACGACTTCACAACTATCTGTTTAGAAGAAGCTGCTGCCAGGAGAGGAGGGGGTAGTCCCAGGCCTTTTCCTGTTCAGTCTTTTGGCATCTTTGCTGTGACTGTCTGTAAGGTTCCCAGTTAGTACAGCTCTACAGTGTGGATGCTTATCCTCTCTGACAAGCATTGAATCATGTCACCCAAAGTGTTGAAACACTGTCTGGCTTCCAATAGTAGCATGGCCCAGTTTTGAACTAAGAACAAAAGGCTGTCCGTCATGTCTTTAGTCCTTTGAGTCATGAGGTGGAGTTGTACAGAGCAGGCATATAGAAGTATTTGGTTATGCCTTCACAAATTTTCTGGTATCAACTTAAGTACCTATAAACATGATTATTTAAAACAAGCCTTGCTAAAGGGCCTCAAATTGTCCTGCTCTGGAAATGTAAAGCTCCTGTTACCTTTGTTTCTCTGTAGGCGTTATCTGTTGATGGCAGAGAGCCAGAGTAGCTGCACATGTACAGGCTGTAAGAGTCATCAGACAAAGCTGTAATGCTGTTTCAAGTTCGGGTAGTTCACACTTTAAAAAAATCGCTACATTCCTTGGCCGTACAGCAGAGAGTAAACCCTGCAGGCACAGCTGCTTTCAAAGCACTGCTCTTTGCTGTCCTGTACAACTATGATGGCTGCAATGCACTGTAAAGGCATGGTCACTGCCATGGCCACAGAGAACATCGTGTAGAGACAACCAAGCCAGAGCAAACCTGAATAAGGATATTGTCACAGTTTTGGGAAAGGTTGAAAGGAGTGCTATCTTACACATTAGGACTGCCTCTAAATTAAGAATTTCTACCATTCGCTGGTATTTGTGAGCACCAACACACATCTGTACAACTTTGGTGCTAAAGTTACTGTGTGTCTGTGCTGTGTCTTTCAGCCTGGGCCTCACCATATGGCATGCATATCAATGTGTCCATCATCAGAGAAAGCTGCAGAACCTGTGTCCTCATGTAAGGTTCGAGGGGCCATCTTGCAGCTGCAATAAGTTCAATTAAAGCTCTGGTCCCATGCAGCTAGCATTTGAAGGTAGCCAGCCTGCTTTGCACCAAACCTGTCTGATCAGTCCCTCCTACCTACAGCATCACCTTGTTCAGCTTGCCTGGAAAGTAACCCCAGGGCTGCCTGATTCATTTGGCAGGAGCGCTATGGCGGGCTGAATGGGCTCACCATCGCCTGGACTGGAGATGGAAACAATGTCCTGCACTCTATCATGATGAGTGCTGCAAAGCTGGGAATGCATCTGCATATTGCGACTCCCAAGGTAAGAAAGCCATGTGCATGGAGTAAGGAAGGCAAACTTTGCCCATTCTCTTCTCAGCCACTTGGATAGTTCCCAAGGGCCTCAGGAAGTAGTGCTTGCATGTATCTTGAGTGACAGCTTTCAGAACCAACGTTCAGAAACCTGATTCAGTTATTTTATGCAAACCAGGAGTAGTTCTACTGAGTCCAGCTTCAGAAGGGCTGGGGGGAATTCGTGTCTGCAGTAGAAATCACAGAGGATGATCATTCCATTTGCTACAAAGCCGCCCAACACCCTCTCCACTTCAATAAATGTGGAAGTTGTTTCAAATTGATGGAAGTGTTGCATCTTGGTTGGTTCAGGTTGGTGGTGCAGCCTTTTAGAATGCTCCATTGCATTACAATATAAAATAAAAAACAAAGAACCAATTTAGAACAAAAAAAATAAATTATGCATGGGCATTTCATTCTGTAACTGTTAAAATACATTTTTCTTACCTTATCAGGGTACTTTTCACCAGTTTATCTCCAAAACAAACTTTCAACAAAATCAACGTCATTTTCTCAAATTTTACAGTTCTGAAGGACATTCCTCTTCCCGTTGAAAAAGGTTCAATCAGTATTTTTTTTACCAATGGTTAATAATCAGTAATGATCTTACATATGTTCCATGATGTTACCTATAATCTCTTTTGGCAGGGTTTTGAACCAGACCTCAGAATAACTAAAGTAACTGAACAGTACTCCAAAGAGGTAGGAGCCTAAGAAATAGCCTAGGACAGTAGTTTGAAGCGAGTTTATTGTCTTTATAAACTAAGTTGAATTTCCTTGTTTTCCTGATCTTCCTTACTTTATTCACATTAGTATGGTACCAAGTTACTTCTCACAACAGAGCCTTTGGAAGCTGTAGACGGTGCCAATGTCTTAGTTACGGATACTTGGATAAGTATGGGACAAGAAGAGGAAAAGAAAGAAAGACTAAAGGCATTTCAAGGCTATCAGATTACAATGCAGGTAAAAATTCAGATTCCTTTTTTGTTGATGCCTTTACAGTTTGCATTTATAAGAATCAACATCAGCAAAGCATGGGTTTGGTATTTTCATGAGTGATGCTGTAAAACAAGCACATGCAAACCTCCCTCCAGCTTGAAAAACTCACAAGGATTACAAACTTTGAGTTATCTTCTACACTTCACATGGCTTGGCCTCTCTCAGAGCTTCCCAATGAGATCCAACTCCAGAACATGACCAGTGCAGGAGAGCTAATCCTTTCCTTCTTTATGACCTAAATCTATTTCTAATTTTGTATTTCCCCTTCGCTACCAGAAATGATGCTTTATATTTTAATTAGAATAAGCAGCTCACAGATTAACTCTGAAATGCCTGGGCAGCATCTGGGGCAATTTTGTGTATATCTGTCAATGAATAAAGCTTTAAATACATGTCTTTAAAATCATCTAGTTGAAATGCTTGTCAGAACAAAATCAGTTAGAGAAAATGTAAAGTCATAAACTATTAATTGTCCGAGATAAAAAGGACATTTTCCTTGCTGATAGAATTACTGGTTTAATTGACTGTATTTACATAACTTATTAACATAAGTTCACAAAATACTATTGATAGCTATGTCTCTGAACTGGCCTAAAATGCTTTAATTCATTGTTCACTGGTATTAGATCAATATATTATGAGTGACAATATAAAAAGAAAAATTCATAGCCTTTTAAATAATGATTTGGTATGTTCTTGTTGCAATTATCGATGGCATTGTATTACTGTATTGCATTCAAATAAAGATTGCACTTGATTGATCCACCAGGTCACTGCCCTACTAAAGCCAGAGAAAGAGGAGTAAAAATTTGACTTTTGTGAAGTCAGCACTGCACTCTTGCTGACTTATAGGGGGTATTCCCATCTTATTCACAGATGAAGAATTCTTTTGAAGCCAGTGGAATTCTTCTGAGTTCATCATCAAAGTAACTAGAGTGAGAGCTAATATAAAATTTGTTAACCTTTTTACTCGTTAAAGATTTTACTAATGTCCTCGCATACTGCTTTATTTTTATATGCTTTTTGGTCTACAGACTGCAAAATCTGCTGCTTCCAACTGGACTTTTTTACATTGCTTACCCAGAAAACCTGAAGAAGTTGATGATGAAGTATTTTATTCTCCACGATCATTGGTTTTTCAGGAGGCTGAAAACAGAAAATGGACAATTATGGTAAAAAAGGAAGATAATAGTGATTAGAGGTTAGGGTCAGCTTCTGTTCTGCCTTACACTGGAGGCTTGGATTCAGCATGGTTACTCAGTAAATAGTAAATGTTAATGGATATGTTTCAGATGCACCCCACAGCATATCACAATTTTGACTGTAGGCAACATATATATGTAGCACAAATGCTCGTGGACACAAATGTGACCTATTTTGATAACAATCTGCTGTTGCTTGACCCAGGTTTTATCACTAAGGGAAAGCTACAGTATAAACCATAATTTTTGATATTTAAATCACTGGGTTTACTCTCATGATTAACACAGCTGCTCAGTTTTAAAACATGTTAAAAGCTGAGGTCTCAGGGACTGGTCTGAGAAGCTACAATTTTGTAAACACTTAAAGCCAGAGATTTTACAGTTTTCTCTGAAGAAAAAATGCCACTGAAACCAATGGGAACTTTCCCTGAGAAAGGGCTGCAAGAGCAAAGCTTTGAGGCACCCTGAAAAATTACGATGTGGGTAATACTGTGTGATTCTTGGGAACCATGAGAGGAAACTTGGCATTTGACATAACTCCTCTCTCAGCATTCCTAGAATTTCAGGAAATTACTGCCAGATCTTGGTAGCCTGTTATTTATTGTTGGCTTTAGAACCATCATGTTGACAAAAGCTAGTGAAATCTTCCAGAGATGAAAAAAAACCACCAAATCAGAAATGGCATTGTCATAGTTCTCAGACTAACTCTAGATGTGCTCCAAGTGAGTAAGTGGTTGAGTATTGTATTTAGCTAAAACTTAGATTTTGGATGTGGTCAAAATTATTAACAAATTTGTGATAAATTCATAGTTTCAGCCTAATTCCAAAAAGTGCTCATAATTTTTATTTTAATTTTGCAGTGTTTCTAATTGACCTAAATATATATTTTTAAAAAAAAAAACAAAACCCTTTACTTTGGCTTCCAGCTGCACATTTTTTGGGAGTAAGAAAAATATCATATAAGTATTTTATCAAGCTATAAAAATAATGAATGTATGGGTCTTGTTTATATATTATTTTCTACTACTTTCAGCTCAGACAGCAAACTGAAAAATAAATTATTTGCTCAGCTGTAGTTCCAAACAGGGCTGAGTGCATCTCTGACATGGGTAGCGCAGCGGCGGGCTGCAGCACAGCTGTGTGTTCAGTCGTCCCCACTGTGTGTCTGGGACCACCTGCCATGCTGAGCAGTGCTGAAGGGAAAGGAAGGACACGCAACAAGACCACAACCCCTGGAGAACCCTTGTAAATGCAGTTCTGGGCCAAAATAACAATTTGCAATCAGACGTAGCTGTGAAATCACAACAGTGTGAATCAGGTAGTACCATGTCAAAAACAAGCAAGCATGGAGCTTGTTATCTACACAGGGGTGGGGAGGATAGCAGAGCTGCTGCAACACGGTGCTATTTTATTTAGCTGACATTCCCATTACTCTCCTTTCATGGCCATACCTAAGGTTTGTTGGAATGTGTATCAACTACCAGCGGAGGGCAGGAGGGGTAGATAACATGCTGTTAACCTCTGAGAGGATTTTCCATGTTTTACCACACAAAGTATAGCTAAACTGGGATAAATTTTGAAGCCCTTATTGAAGCATGGCTCTCACTGATGCTTGTGGAAGTTCAGCTGAAATCCACAAGCAAGCTCATGAGCTGTTTGGGTACCTACAGCATTTCCTAGCAGTAGCTGAGGGTACAGTAGAACACACCAAAAAGGCCTCAGCATTTGGTCTAAACACGCTGTCTGAATTTCCCCTATGCTGTCCATTAATATATCTTGTCTGCACTGAGAAAACCTATCAGCTACAATACAGAATATCCTAACTGATTGTCACCTCTTTCCTGATTCATCATCAGAAGTTCTAGCAAATAAATCTCAGTGTGCAGTTTTTGTCAGGACAATAATTTTCAACACAGGACTTTAGAGCTGGAAAATATTTCCCTCTTATTTATTTTTATGGAGTATCTGTTTCTGATGTGATTGGATTTTTTCTTTTCTTCCCCCTCTAGGCTGTCATGGTTTCCCTGCTGACAGATTACTCACCACAGCTACAAAAGCCTACATTTTGATGCTTGGATTCCTGCCAAGAGAAAAATATTCCTCATTGGCAGAATATTCTGGTCTGCAAATACATAGATCTTCTTCAGAGAGGCAAGGCAATGAATGATTCTTTAATAAAACCTTATAGTTAGCTGTATATTATTGCATTACATTTGTGAAAATGTTCAGGACAATAAATGCCACTGCAAAACCTGCTTTTCGTCTCAATGTTCCAAGTTGGCTATCTTCTCTAGTGATCAGCATCACAGAAAATGTTCCAAGGTTGTATTGTAATGATTGAGGTTGTATTTTAATGATTGTCTCTACGAGCGTCATAGGCATAGCATAGTCTGCACATAGCTGTGCTGCAGCTCATATAGTGTAACATGTAACCTTCTCCATAAACCTGTCTGTTGAATCGGTGATCTTGGGGAGTGTGCACAGAGAAGCAGTGCTTTACTATTTGCCTTGGTTGCCTGCACTTCCTGGGCACCCTGGTTTCTGTTTCTGTTTTCCAGCCAATCTCTAAATCCCACTCCTGTTTCACACCGAAAACATAGAGACATTGTGAGCATTATCTTCCTCCATGACATGCTGCTGAGCTGGCACAGGAGGGTGTTGCAGCAGAACAGTAATAGAGCAGCTTCTGGAGAGCTGGATGTAGCAGTGAGAGATGGCTGGAAGGAACCAGTTCACTCTTTGTCCATCTCTCCTAAACTTTCACTCCTAAATAGAATTTTGGCAGAAGAACCAAGTTTTCTCTTTCTTTTTTCCTAAGCAAACATGGGGGGCACCATGTGATGGAACTGTATACAGCTCCTTTGTGGAAAGAATTTGCTGCATTTTGTCCGGTGCTGTAGCATGATGTATGTTTCAGCTAATCCTTCTTAGTAGTAAACAGCTTCATGGCATTTGTAGTTTTTATGATGGCTGGATGTGTGTGTTTACTTTAAGTATTATTAAAAAAACACCTTCTTTGTTGTTTTTAATTAGGTTCAAGGATCTGTTTGTTTTTTCCGTCTGTAATACTGAAACAATGTCTGTGATATTTTAAAAATTCTGCAAATGGATTTCCATTTTCTGACCAGCTGCAAAACATTATTTAAATCCTTTTAAAATTAGAGTTCACTGCTGGGACACAGATCACTAAAATGAAAATAAAAATACATTTGTTTATCTACTCACTTATGATTGATTCATTGCTTTTGCAGGCATTTGTATGTCTCTTGTTAAAATTAACATTTTCCATTACAACATTACAAGGTTTCAATAATTCAGTGATCGTTTACACTTGAGCAGAGATCTAGCATTATCAGTGATGGAGGAACAGGGTGTGTGCTAGAAATCAACGTTTTACTTCCCAATTTACTATGTGGAGGAAAATGCATGCAGTATAGTATATGTCTGGTTGTATCAGATCCTGCTTTGTGAATTAGGTTCCAGCTCAGCAAGATACTATAGTTGGTCCTTTTGCAGCCAGTGAGCTGTTCCAGTGCTTAGAATTGTACATATCCTTACTAACCTGATTTTAGTGCTATCTGAGAGTAAGACAACTAATTTTGCTAGTCCTTTCATAAAAATGCATTAATATCAGTTTTATTGTGTTGATTAATCTACTATCAGTGAAGTCAAGAGGATTTATATTAACAAAGCTGTTTTGTGAAATGTTTCACGGTGAACAGATTAACAATTATCCGCTACTCATTTGCTTCTCTGTGCTCTGATGAGAGCTAACGTGCATCTAGGTTATCGCAGACTCTTTTTATACTTAGGAATCTGAGCGGGATGCCAGACATCTGAATCCCCTTGACATTTTTAAAACACATGCTTAGATGTGCTGCTTAGCACGTGAGCAATGGAGTCCAACATTTCCTGGGGGGTAATTTCATATGGTTCTATTCCTCTGAATGTATACAGCAAAGGATGATAGCCCTTGCTTTGTCTTGCACAAACTGCTTGCACCATCAGCTATTTTGATGCTTTTTAGAAGTACTGGGTGGACTTAATACACATGTGCTGAGCGACTGACCATTGTGTGGAAGCATTTAGCATCCCGCATATTTCTGCATGTGCAGTATCCACTTTGTGCTGTGTGCTGGGAGCCAAACACATCCTGACGGGTCAGACTTACTGAACATGTGCAAGCTGTCTCCACAGTGCATGCAGAGCAGATCTGACACTTCCTAGAGGCGTTGGTTCGGTACCAAGTAGACGTGTACTTTTCTGCCCCAGGGACCCAGAAATACGGTGCCCTGAAGGGCTCCTGTTCTGCCTGAAGGGACTTTCACTGCCTCCCCACACAGCAGAACTGCACTGCAACGCTTAATCTACTTGTGCAGGTTAAGCATCGGGGGATTGCCGAGTGGTAGCTGTGGTAGCTTGCAAGATAATAGTATTATCATGCCATCCATGTTAGGAAAATCCTCCTGCCAGAGATAAATGGTTCAAAAGGAGGCAGAGGAGCCTGAGAGAAACTTTATTTGAATAAAGAGAGAGTCCAAGGCACATTCACTTGTGGGGTGTCTCAAATTTCCGGAGGGCACAGCCTCCTTTTTATCCTAATTTCCTGACCACAGTAACCCTTTCCCTTTCCCATTGGCTGAGTTACTGGGAAGATACAGACTTCCCAGAATGCCTATTACGTGTTTCCCCGTAATATGTAGCCCCTCCCACTACATCGCATGTATCATTAACTTGGAATTTATGCCGCCCAGGATGGAAAACTTAATTTTCATTAACCTATTAAGCACGCACATTTAGCAGACAAAGTTCAAGAGTTCATATTGTTATACAACACTTGCAGTTTTTATCTGACTGTGGACTGAGTTCTGGGTTCTGATTGGTTCACTCTAATCTTTTGTCACCATATGGTGGTCTTTGTAATGCCTTTGAGGTGTATCCCTATTTTATAAAGACATCTTTTTTTATAGTCATATTACTCATTAATTTACTACTTGAATTTACAAGTGGTGACTGCATATATGGTGAGTAAAGGAAACAGCAATAATGAAAGAACTTCTAGGGGATAAAAATGGTTATCAGCATTCAAAGGGCTTAAAACAAGTGCATAACAGGTAGCAGTCACTAATAGCTTGCAGTGTTTTTCATTACCTTTATTACGCTTTAATCAGTAGAAGTGCTGTTTTTATTGCTGAGTGCACTTGAAGGATGGGGTGTTATTTTCTCTGTCTTTTTACAGAGAGGCTCCTGCCTGGCTCCTGATAGCCCAGAACTTCCTTCCCCTAAAGCCCTACTCTTCTGTTTGACCTAGATACCAGTCCTGGGCCAGTTCAGGTCTATCAAGTCTTACCCACTTCTGACACTTTTAATAACCTGCTGCTCCTATATCTCACCTTCCCATATTTTCAGTGCCATGTTCTGGTCCCTGTCCAGGACCACGCACTGGTGGAGGAAACCTCCAGCCTAATCCATTGCTTGCTCAGAGGCACAAAGGGAAGAATGACCCCTCCTCCCTGTTTCCTCCTCGTTGTTGAGCTGGTTGTGTGCTACTGCATGTACAGCCACATCCAAACCTCACACACAGATGCTGCTGTTGTGCTGCATTCCGAAAGGATATATGCATGCTGACTTCGGTGCCCAAAGCCCAACCACAGCTCCACAGCTAGTACTAAATCTGGCTTTGATATGACCAGGGTAAGTCTGATCCCAGCTCAGGTCCTGGGGGAGGATCAGGGGCCCAGAGGTTACTCTTCTAGTGTCATTTTAGACAGCGGAGGGTCTCAGAGATATCTGCACAGGCCTGACAGATGTGACACAGGACCGATGTGGCACTTGGAGAAGAAACTAGTGGCCAGCAAGGACATCCTACAACATCCCAAATGGCCCTAGGTCTTGTGCTTTGACACCTTACCTACTCCCTCAGTACCTTCATGGCCCTTTAGAAGATTACTACACGTAGAGTATTGCTTATTAACAGTTTACTCTGTAAGCACTTGTTCTGCATCTTATTGACAGCAGTGGTGGGATTCTTTGGTTACCCTTACATGATCATCTGAAAATGATCTAACATTAGTTAGAGATTCAGTGGAGAAAGGGGGAACAAAATGCTGTTCTATAATCTTCTCAAGGTGTAAGAAAAATGCTTTTTCCTTGTGTACTTCTTAATGTACAAAGCTAAGAGACAGCACAGTAATTACAGCAGTTGAGAGGCCTGCAGAAAGAATTTACAATTAATTAACATCCCTGAGAATATGAGGAACAGTAACTTAGAAAAGACTGAGTGAGGAGTCTGGACAATCGGGAGGGAATACAGAAAATAAGATTTCTCAAACAGAATTAAATATTTTATTTGCACCAGCTTACATCAGAAATTACACTGGAAAAAACCGTACAGCAGATGTACTCGTTGTCTGGTAGCAGGAGCAGTCTCCTGTGAGAAGCTGAGCCGCTAAAAGGGAAATACAGGAATAATTAAATGAATTAAATAGCAACATGACACCCAGGTTTGGTTGCATGAAGTCCTCCAGAACTCTTGAATTAACATTCCCCCATCATAAGACCAGCCAGTACATTAGCCATAACTACTTTGCTGCCTTTCAAATTCTGCAATTGAGGGAGGAGGAGCCATATGAAGGTCTGAGTGTTGCATCGAGCTGATTGTTTGGTTTGGAGAGAGCTTTCATGACTGAGGTGAAGTATATTGAGCTTAGTTTTGTTTTCTAGGAATGTATAATACTGGTGGAAAGTCTGAAAACCAGACTGCACACAAAGGGAAAGGTTTCTTCTTTCTTCTGGGTCTCCCATTACTCAGTTAATCATTTGGTTAATGTATTGAGCAAATAAACAGTGCTTTTTTGATTGCTTTGCCACGGTTATTTAACCAGCTGCCTTTCAAATGCAGAGCCCAGAATTTCTGGGTCTTGCCCAAGGTTATGTGTAAAGAGACACTTCATAAGCCACAATAAACATTTTATTCAGCCCAGCATTTGCTGTCATGACTAATGAGATACAGCTATTTGCAAGGCTATTTGATTCTTACACAATCTTGTTACCAACTCTTTGAAGAAATCCCAACCTTTGTGGTCTCTGTAAATGCTGATGATCCCTCCATACATCTGAGTGTCGAGGGTTTTTCTCCAGGGGAAAGCAATCTGAGGTGACTCCATTCAGAGAGCAGATCTTTCACAACCACAG